GAGGGGCTAATGTTGAATGCTAAAAGATTTAAGTTTAATGAAATGATGTGACTATGAGGCCTTAAGTGTTTATCAATACCAAACTAATGAAGGCTTCCTTAGGTCTTGTTGGCTTGCCTGTCAGGCTGATGTGCGCCAATCAAGGCTCCCGAATTTAGGTCATGACATCATTATTTACTATGAACATAGCTAATAGTGAATTCATTGCTTTCTTGACATATGTTGATGATATCTTGATTGGTAGTAATTCTATTCAAATTGCAACTGCAGTCAAGGAACATTTGAGCTCATAGTTTAAGCTTAAGGATTTAGGAACTGTGAAGTACTTCCTTAGTCTAAAAGTATCAAGATCACCACAAGGTATTTCAATATGCTAAAGGAAGTATACACCTGATTTACTAGAATAATATGGATTACATGGAACTAATCCAATCTCAACACCCATTAACTATAATATGAAGCTAAGAAAAGCAAGCAAAGAAAATGAGCTAGCTGATTCTTCCAAGAATAGACAGTTGGTGGGAAAACTTCTTTACTTCACATTTATAAGACTTGACATTTCTTATGCAATATAGACTCGTGCTCAATTCTTGGATAAACTAGGTAGAAAATGTTATATGGCAGCCTACAGAGTATTGAAATACTTAAAGGCAACACTTGGGCAAGGTATATTGATGAAATCAGAGTTAGATTTAAAAATCTCAGCCTACTGTGATAGTGACTGGGCAAGGTGTACTGACTATAAGAAATTTATTACTAGCTATCATGTGTTCATTCGAAACTCACTAGTAAGCTAGAAATCCTAGAAATAGCAAGTAGTGGCTTGAAGTTATACTGAGGCAGAATACAGATCGATGGCAACCACCTGCTGTGAGATAATTTGGATTAAAAGCTTACTTACAGATTTTGGCATTGAACAAAGATTGCATTGAAGCTTTATTGTGACAACCAATCATCAAATTACATCAACAAAAATCCTGTCTTCCATGAAAGAACTAAGCACACAGAGATTGATTGTCACTTCATTCATGAGAAGATTTAAAACGGTATGATTGAACTAGTTCATATATCGATAAATTCACAAGTAGTTGATGCATTCACTAAGGCTTTGCAACCTGGACAATTCCAAAGGTTAATATGCAAGATGAACATTCACAATGTTCATGGTTCCTCTTAAAGGGGAGTGTTAAACTACCATGGAAGGCAAGGACTCAAATGAAAGAGAAATAAGTATGGAAGTTTCAAACATATAGCAGATGAAGCTATCTATAAATAGGATTCTTGATAAAGGCTAAACACACTGTGTCGACACAAAAGCAAAAGACATAACAAGAAGAACGCATAAAAGACAATGTTTCATTTAAAACCAAAATGTTACCATTAATCATTCTTTAATTGGTAGTTAGTTATACAATTTTGTCATTTTCTGTTTCTTTTTTGGTACAGACTTGTATATAAAGATCAAACTCTGTAATTCTCTTTGATTTTGTATGAATAAAGGAAATTATTCCTCCCATCATCACTTTCTCTCTTTCATCATGGTGTGGAAAGACTTATTGATTGGGTTTTGAAATTTGAATTTTGTTTGTATATGGATACATAATTGTTGGAAGTTAAGCTAAGGTTCAAATTTTATGGGAGAATTGGAATTGAGTAGCTCTTAAAGATTCGGTTGAATACCAATAAAGGTGCTGGAAATTTGAAAATGAAACGTATTTAGTAAAAAGATATTGTGGCAAAATTAATTGGTATAATTGGTGAGAATTCCCACTAAAGGACGTGAGTGGGCAATTTCATTTTAACTACTATATAGATTATTGAGCATG